TATGAGTCCGGAAATGGGTGAACACATGGGCGTGCTCTTAACCTGTTCGTAGATAGTCCCGTTGAAGTCAAAGTATGTATAGAGGCAGATCTGTAGGGCTGGGGGATATGGGCGTGCCAGAAGCGATTCTCCGTTTCACCGTATTTCTTCTTAGGAGTAGGTGGATAGTCTCGAGGGACGTGACCTCAAAGGAAACCATGATATCCTTTTGCAGGAGGATTACCCTTTAAGTTTCTTCAAGAATTGTATTGCCGACCTAATTGTTATGCCTAAATCAGCCTTCAAGATCTTGAGCCGTCGGGAGAGTCATTTTTCCAGTCCATAGGTTGGAGTTCCTTAGAGAGATACGATTGACTGGAGGGGTGCGCCCTCACTGTGCACCTTGGGGAGACCATAGAAGCGGGCTTGGGCCTAAGCGGTGGCTACAGGAGTTAATAAGTAAAGTACGCACGCGGATGACCGCTACAAACTATAAATACCTTGCGATTTGTGATGTTTCACCCCTTTCTGCGCATGACTCAGACTGACTAAGGATTCCTGAATGAATCTGAAAGGTCGGGAAAATAAAGCTCTTGTTTTAGAGGTCGGATCTTCTTCTGAACTGCTCCTGAAAATTGCAAATCCATTTCTATTGACAAACTTAAGGGTTGAATTTAAGGCACAAGTGTAGGTCGATTGCGATTACCGGCAACATTAGCTTATGTAGGCCCACTCATTTATCCCTACTCGCTGCATGTTTTCCTACAAAAACGGTGTTTATAAGGTTTTATGGGTGGGGAATTAGGACACGCAGTGGAATATGCTTTAATAAATGCTAAATGCATTTTTATTTTACTGTAGTTAGAAGTGTTGTTAATTTATAGCTGTAGGTTTTCCTAATCTCTTTTGTCTTTTAACTTATTGCGGAAAAAGCCACTTATCAAATTGCGGCTTTCTTGAATTTCCCGTAAACTTGGAATGGTGGTTAGGAGGTCGTCTACTTCAACTTACCTGAGATCCAATTTACCGTTCTGGAGTTACATTAGTATAGTCCGCGGCGCGAAGGGCCTCGCACACGTTCAATTTACATGTGGAACAACTTACTCCCACCGGCCGCGGGAAGCAACTTCGACTACATATATTGTCCCTTTACGCTTATTTCTAAAAATTTCCTTCTCTGCCTATCCTATTTTCCCACCCCCCAAGACTGTATTACCACCGTTTTTGCAAGACAAAATGCTGGGACTAAGGGTATATTGGTGGGCCTACATAAGCTACTTATGCCCGATTACCTTACCCTTCTATTAGTTAATTTCTTAAATAAATCGTTCCTTATCCATGGTATGTCATAAAGTGTTCATAAAAATGATCACATGTCTGTTATTTGGAGATACGATTCAAGTGGTTTTGTATTCTAGATCGTATTGTGCACACTAGAATGTGTTGGCTTGTTTGTTGACGTTTCGTACAGTTGATCCGGCTGTTCTTTGCCCTAGCGTGAACTAACATAATTCCCGTGCGCACAAAAGGATCTATGATTCTAATCCCGGAATTCTGACTTTCGCAAACATCGGCTTTTGTTTTAATCATCATATTGCAGGCAAGACATTCCTGACATGTTCGGATACCTGCCTTTATAACTGACGTAAAACTTGGACAATTTATCTCAGACAAAACGAAACGGTTTTTTTGCAGTACCGGGACTATCTGGTTTACTATAAAGGTACCGAAATCACCCAGCCTGAAAGTTTTGATCATGTACGGACCACCTAGAAGTGATTCCGAGGCTGGCGCTGGTCTGCTAGAGGAGTTAGCAAGATTACCTGCTCGGCCTGATGTCTTGGTTGTGGAGGACTTCAATGCTCCACTCGTCGAGTGGAATTCAACAAACGCACGTGGTCCAGAGCAAGCATTCAACCGGCGTTTACTAGCCCTGACACTCAGTTCATGTCTCATCCAACACGTTCTATATCCCACCAGGGTGAGTGAGGGGCAGCAATAAAACTGCCTAGACCTGGTACCAACAAAACCACTGGCCAGCCTCGACGATTTGCAAACTCTACCTTTTCATCGTCGAAGTGATCACGTCGTACTTCATTGGGACTTTCCAATATTTTCGATAGCTGAACAGCTTACCAGGGTTCGAAGGAATATTTGGCGTGCTGACTTCGATGATATGAAGGCCGAATTAACCCCATTAATTGGGAATCGGCTTTCTCGCTAGAGAAAGCCGATATTTGGGTATGGTTCAGTGAGCTATTACACACTTACCTCAGCAATCACGGTGCGATTTCACGGAAGAAGCTAAACAACAGACCCCAACGGCTGGCTCAATCGCTGAAGAAAGAAGATATTACAAAAAGCGGAGGTTGTGGAGGAAATCTCTTGCAGATAGCAATCCGGTATCAATAAGTGCATGCAAAGTGCAAGGTCGCCTTGTGAAGCGACTTGTCTTTAGGCTGCGCCGAGATATATTTACTAAAGAAGGCAATTACAAATCCTAAGTTATTCTTTTGCTACTTAAGAACGACTACACGGAACATGGACCCAGTTCCCCTCCTGAAGGCAAGTAACAAAATAGAAGTTAGTGAGGATGGAGCAAAAACTGAGCATTTCTGAACGTTTTTTAAATCGAACTTTACGACTGAAAGCGGATTCACCCTTCCCAACTATGGCTTAAACATTGGTCAAAAGATTTAAAATGCATCTTTCGCCGAGGCGACTGTTCTTTAGGAGTTTTAGGCCCTAAATGGCTCGAAATCACCTGGGCCCGATGATAACCCGCCTAAATTACTGAAAGAACTTGCTGAAGACCTAGCCAAACCGCTTTCAATGCTTTTCTATTCCTCGTCTGAAACAGCATGTTTACCCGCCGATTGGAAATCTGCACAAATCACACCGCTGTATAAAGGCGGCAGAGAGGTTTCCGCAAACGATTATGGACCAATCAGCCTTTCTGCGATCTACTGCAAAATTATGGAAAAAATAGTAAAGCGGGAGCTGATATGTTTCCTAGAGCAGCCTAACCTACTATCGGATGCGCAGCATAGATTCCGAAGTGGCAGGTCCTGCGTGAAGAAATCGCTCTCTTGTTTGGAACGTTAGATCCGGGCGGCTGATGGAGGAAATCCGCTTCATGTAGTCTATAGTGATGTCTTGAAGGCTTTCGATAGTGTCCCACATCAAATAATTTTGCGCAAACTCTAACAAATAGGGGTTAAAGGAAACATGCTGAAGTGGATTCGGGGCTTCCTACTAGGTCGCTCTCAAACTGTCCATACCGATGAGCAGCATTCGGCAGAGGCTGCGGTCGAGGGCGGTGTTCCCCAAGGCTCTGTTCTTGGCCCTTTACTGTTAATTATGTACATCAACGACTACGTTCATGATGGCTAGGTTTGCAGATGATATTAAGAGTTAGAACGTCACCAGAATGCAGCTAACGAAGAGCGTTTGCAGGTAACCCTAAGTAATCTTCAAACTTGGGTTAAAGACCGGCTT